ATTTATTGGATCAAATGTAACCAGCCTGATCTCGCGAGGTATTTTACGTTTTGTCAGTTTAGTGGCTAACTCGTACGAAGTTGAGTCGTACGAAAATGTACGTTTTAAAAAGGAGGTGATTAAGGTTTGACCCCCCCTAATTGACGTCAAAACAAGATGTGTGGGGGTCCCTTTTAATCTAAGAAAAAGTTCACTCTGATCTGTATTTTAAATAATAATGTTATTAATTAAAATGTTAATAATTAATAAAGGGCGAGGCAGTGGCGCAATAGGTAGAGCTGTCGCCTCACAGCAAGAAGGTCGCTGGGTCGCTGGTTCGAGCCTCAGCTCAGTTGGGATTTCTGTGTGGAGTTTGCATGTTCTCCCTGCGTTCGCGTGGGTTTCCTCTGGGTGCTCCGGTTTCCCCCACAGTCCAAACACATGGTACAGGTGAATTGGGTAGGCTAAATTGTCCGTAGTGCGTGTGTGCGTGTGTGTGTGTGTGTGTGTGTGTGTGTGTGAATGTGTGTGTGGATGTTTCCCAGAGATGAGTTGCAGCTGGAAGGGCATCTGCTGCGTAAAAACTTGCTGGATAAGTTGGTGGTTCATTCCACTGTGGCGACCCCGAATTAATAAAGGGACTAAGCCGACAAGAAAATGAAAGAATAATTAATAATTGAAAATAATAGATGTCCATTTGACCCCCGCCAAATTAGATGCATAGATTGTGTAGTTTAACCTAAGGTAAGCCTAATCAAGCCAGAATACACTGAAATCTTAAATTGTTCAAAGTGTATGTGTGTGAATGAGTGTGTATGGGTGTTTCCCAGTGATGGGTTGCAGCTGCAAGGGCATCCGCTGTGTAAAACACATGCTGGATAAGTTGGCGGTTCATTCCACTGTGGCAACGCCTGATGAATAAAAGGACTAAACCGAAAAAGAATATGAATGAATGAATTAAAATATATCTATTTGACCACCCCTCTAACGGTTCATACCATTGTGAATGCATAATCTGTCTATGCAACAAAAAAAAAGTCAGTCAGTCCGAAACTGGCAGATTTAGAGCACCGTACGAGTTCACAAAAATAGCTGTTTGTTTCTACATAGACTAAAAGTAATGTCAAATTAGATGCATAGATTGTATAGTTTGACCCAAGGTAAGCCTAATCAAGCCAGAATACACTAATTAGCCTATCCCTATCTCAGAAAACACTGAAAACTTAAACACATTTCATTAATAAATTAGATGTCATTAAATTAAATACATAAATTTGATCCACTGAAGCATGTATTACACAAGGGGCATCACGGTGGCGCAGTGGGTAGCACATTCGCCTCACAGCAAGAAGGTCGCTGGTTCGATCCTTGGCTGGGTCAGTTGGTGTTTCTGTGTGGAGTTTGCATGTTCTCATGTTGGCGTGGGTTTCCTCCAGGTGCTTCGGTTTTCTCCACACGTCTAAAAACATGTGGTATAGGAGAATTATGTAAGCTACAGTAAATTGTCTGTAGTGTATGCGTGTGAATGAGTGTGTATGGGTGTTTCCCAGTGATGGGTTGCAGCTGGAAGGGCATCCGCTGTGTAAAACACATGCTGGATAAGTTGGTGGTTCGTTCCGCTGTGGCGACCCCTGATGAATAATGGGACCAAATTATTAAAATAATAGATATCGATTTGACCACCCCTCTAACGGTTCATACCATTGTGAATGCATAATCTGTCTATACAACAAAAAAAGTCAGTCAACAGTCTGAAACTGGCAGATTTAGAGCACCGTAAGAGTTCACAAAAAATAGCTGTTTGTTTCTACATAGACTAAAAGTAAACTAAAAGTAAATTAGATGCATGGAGTGTATAGTTTGAGCTAAGGTAAGCCTATGTAAGTCAGAATACACTAATTTGCCTATCCCTATCTCTCAGAAAACACTGAAAACTTAAACACATTTCATTAATAAATTAGATGTCATTTAATTAAATACATAACTTTGATTAACTGAAGCATGTATTACACAATTCTCATGGGGAAAATTTTAAATATATGTATATATTTGTAATATTTATTTGTACAATTTATTTATAATTTCATGTTAGTAATTATTTGTTGTGAATGATAACAACTTGTTTGTAAAGTTTTTTTTTTCCTTAACAACAAAACTATAGCTGTAGGGTTAATCAGGCTGAGTGTTAGGACAGGGTTTGTACATTTGTAAAGTGTTTTAATGAAGCAAAAAAATCTGAAAACCAAATAATGACATACTCCTTTACAAAACAACTCACAGAAATCAACCATCGGGCCATTTTAGTCATGTTTGGGATGAAATACTTGCATTCACTGTATTTATGTTTTTATTTCAAGGTCAGATAATGTTTCTCTTAGGATGTCCTACATATAAAGCCGAACAGGAGGGTAAATAGAGCAGAACTAGTGAACCTCTTCTCCTCCTCCAGCTCACGCAACGTGGCCAATCTTTAACCCGCGCTACAGGTGCGCGCACGCGATGCTGTTTGATCAGTTTATCGTAGCGTGTTTCACACAGCGATAACAGTCTGAGGTCGCAGGAACTCTTCCCATAAACCCACCGCAGAACAAACACTCCGGCTTTAACACTCCTCGTGCTTTTGTGCATGAACCGCTGACATGCACGCTCTCCGACGGCCACGCGCGTCTACCCCATTCTGCCAGCTCTTCCTGTTGACAGTCAATGAGATGCATGAAAAATGTGTGAAGGAATCTGCAGCAGCGGTTCACAAACGCACGCACACACTCTCACACATACACACCTTTGCACGCGATGCTTTACCTGTTGCTTAATGAGTTACGAGCGCGTGCCAGATCAGCAGAGACTCAAACATGCAGGCAATTATCGGATGTGTTGCAACAAACAATTTATTTAGTTCACATAATTGCCTAAACCATCACACTGATTTATGACACTTTAGCTTAGACAGCTTTAAAAGATAAATAAACATCTCGAGCATGCTGTTTAACTTTTCATGATTTATATATTCTGATTTTATTGGGCTTATTTATTTCTCGCATAATAATTATGCGCATTGAGTTTGCTGTATAGTGCTCTCTGTGTGTGTTTTTAAGAGTTGTGATGAAATGTGGGATTGATTTCTCAGTTAATGCACGTCGCTTTTGTCTACAAACTGTTCTGTAAAATATTAACATTATTACATAACATCAAAAACACCGATAAGCCCAGTTCTGCCTAATTATAAAGGCTAATTAAGCGTCTCATTTATTAATTTATTTCATTTATTTATGTTTTAAATATATATTTGTTTACATATTGCAAATTTAGTTGGAAATGCATGTTAAAAATATTAGTGCTGTATAATTATTACCCAATCAAAAATGTTGCATTTGTGTTAAATATTGACATATATATGATCACATTACATAAATATTGACATATATATTATTACAATACATAAATATTGACATATATATAATAACGTTACATAAATATTGACATATATGATTACGTTACATAAATATTGACATATATATAATTACGTTACATAAATATTGATATATATATAATTACATTACATAAATATTAGCATATATATATATATAATTACATAAATATTGACATATATATTTAATTACAATACATAAATATTGACATATATATAATTACATTACATAAATATTGACATATATGATTACATTACATAAATATTGACATATATAATTACGTTACATAAATGTTGAGATATATATACAATTACAATACATAAATATTGGCATATATATAATTACGATAAATAAATATTGACATATATATATATAATTACAATACATAAATATTGACATATATGATTACGTTACATAAATATTGACACATATATAATTACATTACATAAATATTGATAAATATATAATTACAATACATAAATATTGGCATATATAATTACGTTACATAAATATTGACATATATATATAATTACGTTTCATAAATATTGACATATATATATAATAACGATACATGAATATTGACATATATATGATTACAATACATAAATATTGGCATAATTAAAATGACATTACATAAATATTGATATATACATGACTATATTACAAAAATATTGACATATATATATATATATATATACACACACACACACATATATATACAATTACGTTGAATCAATATTGACATATATATGAATAAATTACAAAAATATTGACATATATATAATAACGTTACATAAATATTGACATATATTTGATTTTATTAAATAAATATTGGCATATATATAATTACATTACATAAATATTGACATATATATGATTACATTGCATAAATATTGACATATATATATATATATATATATATATATATATATATATATATATATATATATATATATATATATATATATATATTTACTTACTTTACATAAATATTGACATATTTGACTTAGTCCCTTTAATCAGGGGTCGCTACTGCGGAATGAACCGCCAACTTATCCAGCATAGTTTTTACGCAGCAGATGCCCTTCCAGCTGCAACCCAACACTGGGAAACACACATACCCTCTCATTCACACGCACACTCATACACTACGGCCAATTTAGTTCATCAGTTCCCCTATAGTGCATGTGTTTGGACTGTGGGGAAAACCGGAGCACCCGGAGGAAACCCACGCCATGCAAACTTCACACAGAAATGCCAGCTGACCCAGCTCGAACCAGCGATCGTGCTACTCACTGCACTTTATAAATATATATTTTTCATTCATAACTTTTATATACATTTTACATAGTCTTTTGTACCATGTATGTGTGCGTGTGTTACATACATCAATCTCCTTCCCACAGTTTAGATATGTGTGAGGTGAGTGTGTGTAATTACTCAGGGAGTTTACTCAGTGCAATCGATCAGCCTGTAATAAAATCTCAGCCCTTCTCAGCATCAAAGCCTCCTGCGCTCGGTGACGTCACGCGGAGGACAGCCAATCACGGCGAGCTCTGCGCTATAAAAGATTTACCGCTGGAATAGTGCAGCACTCCTCTGGAGCTAATTGGCACTGGATAGAAACAGCTGAGAACTGGAAAGTATCCACTCGATCGCTCCGGGTGAGTCTGATGTCAATGGTTTTGTCTTATATTGAATATGTGATCATTGTGCAGGTGCTTTATGCAACTTTTAAACGTCAAAACATTAACTTTCTTTACTTTTTCTACATGTTTTGCACAATATTGTACAGCTTAAATGGTGTGCATGTCACTTTTATAATAATTTTAGAGTTGAAAAAAAATGTATGTATAATATATATACTATAATTATATTATATATTATATTTTAATATCACTATATTCCATTATAATGACATTTTTTGATTGCAAAGCATTTAATCATGCACAATTTTGCTCTTCATCATCAGTTTCAGTGCACATAAAGCCTATTTCCAGCTTGTATATGAAGTAATATGGAGTATAGCGTGTGTGTATATGTGTGTAAATAGGTTTTTCTAACTTTAGAATTATTATTTATCATTGTTATTAATATAATTATTATTATTATTGGTTTGATGATGATTGTTAATTATTTATTGCTTTGAATACTCCATATGGTCATTTAAACCCTTTATTGTTTCCCCACTTTTTTATTTGAAATCATACTTGAAAATGCTATAAGATTTATGCATATGGTTGATGTTCAGACAAAATAAAAATAATAATGTAAAAAAAAAAATATATATATATATATATATATATATATATATTTATATATATATATATATATATATATATATATATATATATATATATATATATATATATATGTAGGTTGTAGGTTTTTATGTTGCTGCACAGTATGCATGTGTGAGTATATCTTGCCTAATACAGGTGTGTGTGCATGTGCGTGTGTGTCTCAGATATGTGCTCTGACCTTGAGACAAATCACTCCATGTGTAGTTTATCATTAATGAATTTTGCAATTCAAATAACCAACCAATGCGCACTGGTTAAGCTGCACACTTATAGCATTTAGTTGCATAAAAACTCATGCATGTGCAGCATTAATGACAGACAGGTTGCGGAAACACACACCTTTCTCAGTATCGTTCATCTAAGAAGTGTTACTGTTAGACTTCTGCTGGCATCAAATTTACTTGTTGCAATTTATTGCTGAAGCTTGTAACTTGATATATGGTATTATCACAATAGACTGCAAAATAAACTACTTTAACAGGTATAGCAACAATAAAACTTGTATTGATTTATCATTCAGGATAAACACATTTTTCAACTAAAATAAATTCTGAAAAAAATTATAAAGTACAACAGGTAACACTTTACATTAAAGATGAGTTAACACTAATTAATGTATTAAAATCTACAGTGATAAAATGACATATTATGGTTGTGTTAAAGAAATATAAATAAATATTTTAAAATATCTTCTGTAAAAACAACCGCCCTGGATGTTCTTGATCCCACTTAATACACTGCTTCCAGCCACAAAACATAGAAATTAGACACAAACATTGTTCTGAACCGTAATAGTTTATTAAATCATTAAATAAATGCAAAGCTGACAAAGACTTAAACAGCTGATGGAGTATACACTAACCTGCACATTATTCAGACACTAGATGGCGCTATTAACAGTCAAAAACACAAAGCTGACAGAGACTAAAACAGCTGATGGAGTATACACTAACCTGCACATTATTCAGACACTAGATGGCGCTTAAAACAGTCAAAAACACAACAGGCACTAAAACAGCTGATGGAGTATACACTAACCTGCACATTATTCAGACACTAGATGGAGACAAACAGTTAAAAACACAACAGAAACTAAAACAGCTGATGGAGTATACACTAACCTGCACATTATTCAGACACTAGATGGCGCTTAAAACAGTCAAAAACACAAAAGAAACTAAACAGCTGATGGAGTATACATTAACCTGCCATTATCCAGACACTAGATGGAGACAAACAGTCAAAAACACAACAGAAACTAAAACAGCTGATGGAGTATACACTAACCTGCACATTATTCGGACACTAGATGGCGCTTAAAACAGTCAAAAACACAACAGAAACTAAACAGCTGATGGAGTATACACTAACCTGCACATTATTCAGACACTAGATGGCGCCAAACAGTCAAAAACACAACAGACACTAAAACAGCTGATGGAGTATACACTAACCTGCACATTATTCGGACACTAGATGGCACTAAAACAGCCAAAAACCAAAACAGCTGATGGAGTATACACTAACCTGTGCATTATTCAGACACTAGATGGCACTAAAAACAGTCAAAAACACAAAGCTGACAGACACTAAAACAGCTGATGGAGTATACACTAACCTGCACATTATTCGGACACTAGATGGCGCCAAACAGTCAAAAACACAACAGAAACTAAAACAGCTGATGGAGTATACACTAACCTGCACATTATTCGGACACTAGATGGCGCTTAAAACAGTCAAAAACACAACAGAAACTAAACAGCTGATGGAGTATACACTAACCTGCACATTATTCAGACACTAGATGGCGCCAAACAGTCAAAAACACAACAGACACTAAAACAGCTGATGGAGTATACACTAACCTGCGCATTATTCAGACACTAGATGGCGCCAAACAGTCAAAAACACAACAGACACTAAAACAGCTGATGGAGTATACACTAACCTGCACATTATTCGGACACTAGATGGCGCTTAAAACAGTCAAAAACACAACAGAAACTAAACAGCTGATGGAGTATACACTAACCTGCACATTATTCAGACACTAGATGGCGCCAAACAGTCAAAAACACAACAGACACTAAAACAGCTGATGGAGTATACACTAACCTGCACATTATTCAGACACTAGATGGTGCTAAAAATAGTCTAAAACACAACAGACACTAAAACAGCTGATGGAGTATACACTAACCTGCACATTATTCAGACACTAAATGGTGCTAAAACAGTCAAAAACACAACAGACACTAAAACAGCTGATGGAGTATACACTAACCTGCGCATTATTCAGACACTAGATGGCGCCAAACAGACAAAAGCTGCAGCGTAAATCAGCAGATACATACAAACATCGATGTGTATTCAAATTTTGACATATAACATGAATCTCATCATGAGTAAATCTCAACATGAGTTCCCGGATGAGTCTGTATTATCCTGCAGTTGTTATCTGTAAATAACATACCTTAGTATGTCACAACTGACCAATCAGAATCAAGTATTCTACACAAAACCATGTAATAATTTTTACTAACAACCACCTGGATGTACTTTATTTCGCTTATTACATGGCTACTTACCACAAAGCATAAAAAAAGACTCAAAAATCAATTCAACAGTATATATTTAATAACTGATGGTGATAATTACTGATATTCCCTCTAATACCTCATTTATGTCTGCTTCCTTCTAAACAGGTTATTAAATCAGCAATGGCTCTGACTATTCTTCCAATATTGGGTCCGATTTCTGTGTCTGAGAGTCTCGTGGCCATTATAACAATATGTTTGGTGTATCTGCTCATGCGCCTAAACCGCACGAAAATCCCAGACGGGCTACAGAAGCTTCCCGGCCCGAAGCCTCTGCCGATTATCGGAAATGTCCTGGAAATCGGAAACAACCCACATTTGAGTCTGACGGCCATGAGTAAGTGCTATGGCCCGGTTTTCCAGATCCAGATCGGCATGCGTCCTGTCGTCGTACTCAGTGGGAATGATGTGATCCGACAGGCGCTCCTAAAACAGGGCGAAGAGTTTTCCGGACGTCCAGAATTGTACAGCACCAAGTTCATCAGTGATGGAAAGAGTCTGGCGTTCAGTACGGATCAAGTCGGAGTCTGGAGAGCACGCCGAAAGCTGGCGCTCAATGCCCTGCGAACATTTTCAACAGTGCAGGGAAAGAGTCCCAAATATTCCTGCGCCCTAGAGGAGCACATCAGTAATGAGGGTTTATATTTGGTCCAGAGGCTGCACTCTGTTATGAAAGCCGATGGAAGCTTTGATCCATTCAGACATATCGTAGTATCCGTGGCTAACGTAATCTGCGGGATCTGTTTCGGACGCCGGCATAGTCATGATGATGATGAACTGGTGCGACTGGTTAATATGAGCGATGAGTTCGGGAAGATCGTGGGCAGCGGAAACCCTGCCGATTTCATCCCTTTCCTGCGCATTCTGCCGAGCACGACGATGAAGAAGTTCCTGGATATCAACGAACGCTTCAGTAAATTCATGAAGAGGCTGGTGATGGAGCATTACGATACGTTCGATAAGGTGGGTGGGTTACGTTTGTGGTTGAGCTTATAGGAACATTCATTAATTCATTTTCGGCTTAGTCCCTTTATTAATCGGGGGTCACCACAGCAGAATGAACCACCAACTTATCCAGCACATGCTTTATGAAGCGCATGCCCTTCCAGCCGCAACCCATCACTGGGAAACACCCACACACTCTCATTCACACTCACACACTACGGACAATTTAGCCTACCTAATTCCCCTACACCGCATGTGTTTGGACACACGAACCAAACCCACACGAACGCAGGGAGAACATGCAAACTCCACACAGAAACACCAACTGACCCAGCTGAGGATCGAACCAGCAACCTTCTTGCTGTGATGCGACAGAAGTACCTACTTTTATAATTTTTTTATTTATTCAGGAGCAGTTTTAGCTTAGCTTAGCATAGATCATTGAATCAGATTAGACCATTAGCATCTCTCTCAAAATATTCAAAAGTTAGACTCTTCCATAGTCGTGTATTTATTAGTCACACTGGATCAATAAAAGCGGGCTGCACGGTGGCGTAGTGGGTAGCACATTCACCTCACAGCAAGAAGGTGGCTGGTTCGAGCCTCGGCTGGGTCAGGTGGCGTTTCTGTGTGGATTTTGCATGTTCTCCCTGTGTTTGCGTGGGTTTCCTCCAGGTGCTCCGGTTTCCCCCACTGTCCAAACGCATGTGGTATAGGTGAATTGGGTAGGCGAAATGTGTGTGAATAAGTGTGTATGAATGATTCCCAGTGATGGGTTGCAGTTGGAAGGGCATCCACTGCATAAAACATATGATGAATAGGTTGGTGGTTCATTCCGCTGTGGCGACTCCAGATTAATAGAGGGACAAACCTCTAGCTTAGCTTAGCTTAGCATAGTTCATTGAATCAGATTAGACCATTAGCATCTCTTTCAAAAATGATTATCAAAGAGTTTTGATGATTTTTCTGACTCCTCAAGCTTTGAATAGGAAAATAATCCAAACACCTTTTACAGTTTTTTTTAGCAAGATGCTAATGGTCTAATCCGATTCAATGGTCTATGCTAAGCTAAGTTATAAGTCCTCCGGCCAAACTTGGAGATCGGCTGAATAAATCCAATAATGAAAAACTCAACCGTTAAACTTTAGATCTGGGGTGTCCAAACTCGGTCCTGGAGGGCTGTTGTCCTGCAGATTTTAGCTCCAACTTGCCTCAACACACCTGCAAGGATGTTTCTAGCTTGTTAAACAGTGGAGTGTATCGGTACTTCACCCAAAAATGTAAATTCTGTATATAATTAGTTACTCATCCTCATTTTTAATCCATCACCCTAAAAGCGACAATTTGAATTTATTTTAAAAAATAGTAAATCTGTTGTAACTTAAAAGAGTTGACTTAATTTCTAAGTTAATAGTATTTTAAAAATAACAGTTATGCACACAGTTTTTATTTCTATTGTTTATTAAGATCCCCATTGGCCACAATATTCCTGGGGTCCGACAAATGAAATGACAAGTTTAGATTAATTCATCATTAAAAACAATAACAAAAAAGCTAATTTAAATTAAAATAAAACAATAGAAACTTTAAAAAAACACAGAAAAAGGCTAATTCACACTAAACACAACAATAGACATCAAAACCACAACCAACTAAAGACAAATAAGCATTAAATTACAAAACCAACACAATAAAACACACTGTTTCAATCATTTGAAACTATTTATTTAATTTCAAGGCAACGCATTACTCAAATTTTATTGCATTTATTTTAGTTTGATCTCCACATAGATAAACGATCTTAAAAATAGGTCATTTTAAATAGTGTTTCTCTATCAGGCAAATGTAATGTTGCAAGTTTTTCCAGTGTCGTGTGGCTCTTCGTAGCTCATTGTCTGTTAAATTTTTTTCAGGACAACATCAGAGACATCACCGACTCTCTTATCAACCACTGCGAAGACCGAAAACTGGACGAAAACTCCAACCTGCAAGTGTCCGATGAGAAGATCGTAGGAATCGTCAATGACCTATTCGGAGCCGGTGAGTAGCGAGAAAAACGAGTTCATTCACTAATTAAGATGTCTGAATGGATACTAAAGTGTGGCTGTCATTATTTTTTATTTATTTGTTTATTTATTTATTATTAATTATTATTATTAATTTCCTTTATTTTTTATTTATTAGTAGTAGTAGTAGTAGTAGAAGTAGTAGAAGTAGTAGAAGTAGTAGTAGTAGTATTTTTGTTTGTTTATGCTGTTGATCTCATGGTAATTTCCTTTTTTAATTTGCTTTTCAATGAAGACTAAGTAAATACAGCCTGTTTGACAAGAAACATGAGAAAACTACATATTATTTCCCTAATTCTGGTGTCTGGATGATACTGACGTGTGTGTGACTATTTTAATTTAATTTAATTTAATTTAATTTTATTTTGTTTTGTTTTGTTTTGTTTTGTTTTGTTTTGTTTTGTTTTATTTTATTTTATTTTATTTTATTTTATTTTATTTTATTGCTGGGCAAATATTAATTGTGATTAATCACATCTGAAATTAAAGTTTGTATATAATTTTATTTTTATTTTGTACATTTAAATGCACACATATACAGTACCTGAAAAAGTATTTATTTTTAGATATAAAAAAATATATGTATAATGTATAAAATATGTATGTCATGTAATAATATATAATAATATATGTAATATTTATAAAACATTTCATATCAATTATATATACAGTACATTTAATAACTATGCAAAATTGTTTATGTGTATGTGTGTAAATCAATGACTGTAAAAAATAAATTACAATATTAAATTACAATATTAATATAAAATATTAAATTACAATATTAATATGTAAATTACATATGCATAACATAACTCACACACATATACACACACCGACACACACTTATGTCGAAACAAACTTTTATTTAGGATGTGATCAATCACTAATTATACATTAAACTAATTAAATGAATAATTAAAAATGCCGAGATAATTAGAGAGGAAAAAAATATAATAAAAATAAACAAATTAATAGGGTGAAAATTATATAAATAAGGAAACATTTATAATTATAATAATAAATTATTATACAAATAACTGGGATTGGGGATGGGATGATGGCATATACTTTTAATTAACATTTAATTAATTAACCTTAATTTAATGTTGATTGTGTGTGTGTGTGGTTATTGACAGGTTTCGACACTATCAGTACGGCTCTGTCCTGGGCGGTTGTCTATCTAGTGCACTACCCAGAGGTCCAGGAGCGACTGCAAAGAGAATTGGGTGAGTGTTTTCTGTCTGTACTGTATATGTTTACATCCAAATCCGAATGAGTTTTTATCATGCAATATCTTATGTATATCCATCTTGCCATGAAATAGGCATAAGTTGCTGAGGTGGCAGTAAATAAATAGTAAATAAACAAATGTGAAATCTGACCAGGATTAATCTCTCCTCTAGATGAAAAGATCGGGAAGGATCGCACACCACTGTTATCTGACAGGGCGAACCTGCCGCTTCTGGAGTCCTTCATTCTGGAGATCTTCCGTCATTCATCCTTCCTTCCCTTCACCATTCCTCACTGGTGAGTTGGAGACAGCATCACTGCGTTGAAGAAGAAAAAAAAACTGAGCTGAATCCAACTGTGGTGTTTACCTGAGCTGCGCTTCTCTCTTTCAGCACATCCAAAGACACGTCACTCAATGGCTATTTTATTCCCAAAGACACCTGCGTGTTTGTAAACCAGTGGCAAGTCAACCATGACCCGTAAGTTTCTCGTTATTAATCTGGTCTGATTTACAATGCTTTCTCAACACATTAAAAATACTGTAGTACTTACATACTATAGTCTATAAGTAACCATACCATAGTTTAGTTCTTGAACTGTTGTGGTGATTCTACAGTTGCTATGGTAACACAACAACTTCAGTAATTAATCCATTGTGGCGATTGTACAGTTGCTATGGAAACACAATGACTAGAGTAATTGAGTTGTGGTGATTATACAGTTGCTATGGTAACAACAACTATAGTAATTAATCTGTTGTGGTGATTCTACAGTTGCTATGGAAACACAACAACTATAGTAATTGAGTTGTTGTGGTGATTCTACAGTTGCTATGGTAACACAACAACTATAGTAATTAATCCGTTGTGGTGATTCTACAATTGGTATGGAAACACAATGACTACCGTAATTGAGTTGTTGTGGTGATTCTACAGTTGCTATGGTAACTCAACCACGATTGTAATTGATTGTTGTGGTTATTCTACAGTTGCTATGGTAACACAACAACTATAGTAATTAATCTGCTTTGATGATTCTAAAGTTGCTATGGTGACACAACAACTATAGTATTTAATCCGTTGTGGTGATTCTACAGTTGCTATGGTAACACAACAACTATAGTTAATGATCTGCTTTGATGATTCTATAGTTGCTATGGTAACACAACAACTGTACTATTATAAACAAATGATCCAATACTGTAGTTTTCTACAACTATAGGGTATATTATACTACACTACATCACAGTGTACTAGTAAAAAAGGAGTATGTTACAGTATTTATTATAATTTATCAGGTCACTGTTGTTAAACTACAGTATACTGGAACATTCATTAACAAAGTGTTGTAAAAACTATAATATATATATGATATTTTACACTTTACTACAGTATGGTTCACAAACACTACAGTATTCACCATGGATGAATTGATATTTAATTTGTGACTGATACCATTAGCCGATGACTTTTAAAATTTGGAGGGTGTTATCTGATATATAGGCCAATCAATGTGAATAATAACATTTCTGCTTGATTGCTAAACCAAAAGGCAAACACATACAGAGAACAACTCTGAAATTAATTTATTTAGCAACTATTCATTTCTATGGCCAGCTTTGCTTTCATATAAAGGAAATCTATTGACAAAAAACAACAACAACAAAGCAATAAAGCCATTGAAAAAGTGGCACGCAGCAAGCATGTAAAATGGCTAAACCAGAAGAAATAATACATCTTTAATCAGCTTATTGAACCGATAACAATAATATTAAATATAGCGTATAAGACTGTACATTAATTTAGTTAAGCATTTCATTTGTGATTTAACAGTCTTTTTATTAATATGCAGTTTTGCTTATTCATTGTTTTTATCGTAGTGTGATTTATTATTGTGATCTGATTATGCATAAGATGCAAATATATCCACTTAATTCTGTTATTGGAGCTACAATAATATTACAAATAGCATTTATCAGCTGATATTCATATGGCCACTATCATGAATCCCCAGTATTTACTATAAATTACTGCACATTTATATGTGAGTCAAACCAAGCTGAACCTGTTATTTGTGTTTGCAGAGAACTGTGGAAGGATCCCTCGTCTTTTATTCCCGACCGGTTCCTCACTGCGGACGGTACTGAACTGAATAAGTTGGAAGGCGAGAAGGTGTTGGTTTTCGGTTTGGGAAAGCGCCGCTGCATTGGAGAGTCCATCGGACGCGCTGAAGTCTTCCTGTTCCTGGCCATCCTGCTGCAAAGGTTAAAGTTCACCGGGATGCCAGGAGAAATGCTGGATATGACCCCAGAGTACGGGTTGACCATGAAACACAAGCGGTGTCTTCTTCGGGTCACACCACAGCCTGGGTTCTAGATCCAGAACTCCTCATCATGATCCAAAAATCAAAGATTGAGCTCCTGAAATCCAGGAAAACTGGCCAGCAGGTGGAGATGCTGAATATTAGAGATGTTTGTTCGCAGGTCAAAGCATCCGATGCATTCTGATGCAAGCACACTGCAAAATACATGCTATTATTACTTACTATTAGAGTTTTGGTCTTGCTTCTAGTCCAAATATCTCAAACGTCTTTAATCAAGAAGCATTTTGTTGGCAAGTGAAACATCTTGTCTTGTTTTCAAACATAATGAGTGAAAATTAAATGACGTTTTCCGTAAAACAAGCAAAATAATCTGCTTACTCTGTTTAAAAAACTCTGTTAAACAGCTCTTTGGTAAGGAACTTTAATAATTGGGTAGTTTTGTTGTAAATTGTGCATATATGCATATCAGATGCACGCTTGCATGGCCTTGTCCTTTCAAAACTGGAATGCTGATAATGTATTTGTGCTTTCAAACATACCGCGGTAAAGCACAGATCAGGATGAAGAGTGCCTGTTTTAGCTGCGGTTTAGCTGTCTATCAAAGCAATGCCTTCTGTCTTCATAAGCTTAATGCAGATTCATCTGCCTGACGACATACACTGATGCAGTTTTCTAATTGATGATGATCCCCGAATGTGATCCACATGTAAATACGCAGCGGCTGTTTCAATATGCACATTTTTTTTTACATGTGCCTGATTTTACTTGTGTACAGATTTGTAATATCTACTTTTTGTATTTATCGAAGTGCTTAATCAGATGTTTATTTCCTTGAGATATCGTGTCTGTGACCTGCTGAAACTCTTCGCAGGTGCTCATAATTGTATTATGAAGGAATTCTGAAGTACTACTGCTATAATTAATTCATGCTAACATGGTCTCCAATGGCAGTTTGTTGTTGCATAGCATATTTATGATGTTGGCAAAATAAATAATAAAACTTCTACTGCTGAAAGCCTATGTGTGATCATTTTAGCAGTCATGTTAACTCTGTACAGAACATTATCAGTAGGCTATATGTGTTTAACAATAAGAGTCTTATTATGAAAGCGTATGCTAGCCCTGCTAAAAAGATCCAGCTTAAACCAGCCTAAGCTGGTTGGCTGGTTTTAGCTGGTATTCCAGCCTGGTTTTAGGGGGGTTTGGGCCATTTTCAGGCTGGTTTCCAGCCATTTCCAGCCTGGTCTTAGCTGGTCAGGCTGGGAGATGACCAGCTAAAATCAGCTTGACCAGCCTAGCCAGGCTGAGAGCCCAGCCAAAACCAGCTATGTCCAGCTTAAACCAGGCTGGTCAAGCTGGTTTTAGCTGGATTAAGCTGGTCATTTTTCAGCCTGACCAGCTAAGACCAGGCTGTAAATGGCTGAAAACCAGCCTGGAAATGGCCAAAACCAGGCTGGTCAACCAACTAAAACCAGCTAACCAGTTTAGGCTGATTTAATCTGGATTTTTTTAGCAGGGAGATGTTTTCACCTCAAGATATTGCAGATATGATAAAGCCAATGCGAGCAAAAACTTTTTGTTTTAAGGCGCTCACAAAATGATGTTAACATCCCGCATTATCAGTAGACGATGTCTCAAAAACAGAATTAAAAATAGCGCATTTTTGTTGTTTTATATGCAACGCGTTCGCGCGTTTATATGACGTCATCGAGGCGCGACGATGCGATTGACGGCAAACAAACTAACGCTAGTTTGGAGAAAACTGCTAAGTTAAACAGGTACAAGGTGAGTGACTAGTTGTTTTATTTGAAAATTGTTTATAAGAAAATGTCAACAGAATCGATTAAAGAAACAGACTCGTGAGCAAAACACAACAATCTACAGTATGACAAATCACTGATGAAATTGTATTATTATTAGTAATAGTAACCTTAGTAGTAGTATTAAATTAAGAGGAGTTTTATAGAACTACTATGTTTGTTTTTTTAGAATAATAACATAGTTGTCTATATTTAAATAGTGGCAGGTTCTTTGTAACCGAGGATACATATTACATACATAATTATTTATTTATTTGTTTATTTGGCCGGGACAGTGAACATTAATTAGCATCTCTGCCAATCTACCAGAATTAGCCAGAAGGCTATTTTTCATCTGTTGTCCCTGAACAACCTAAAAAAAAACAATACAAGAGTTATACAATCCATCAAACACAGTTAAGCAGTACTAAAATACACATGGTTATGTAGATGTTAATAAAAAATTAATACAAATTAAACTAAAACACCAACATTTTGTAATAGAGATAGTTGAAACACATTTAAACAAAAGATGGTAGGCACAAATGGAGAGAGGGGTCTGGCTGCAGACTCGGTCCAGTGCAATATGAGCTGCATCCAATGCTTTTTAATGCTCTCACCTAAAGCCTGATTTATACTTCTGCGTCAGGTGACCGGCGTAACCCACGGCGCATGCAACGTGCGTAGCTGTGCATTTATACTTCTGCTGCTGTCTCTGTCGGTCTGCATTAACACTTCCGAAACGCTAGTTGGCAGTGAGGTGTTAATGTTCCTCTGTGTTGAGTTTCTTCACTACTTTTTTGCTTTTCCTGAACACTTCCGGGATGTACAAGTGGCTCAAACTCGCTCATTTTGAGGCAGGAACCGGCGGACGTGCAACAACTTTAACTATGAGGTAAACACAAAACAAAACTTTCCATCCGGAGCTCCTTCACGGTACTCCACACTTCGCTTGCGCGGCTTCGCGCCATTCGCGCGGCTCTCGGTCCCGCCCAGACTAGTCAGTGCCGACCAATCACAAAGCTTACGCTACGCGTCGTTGCGACGTGTAGTTACATTTTTTGAGAGGTGCACGTCAGTGATGGCGATGGCCACGGCGAAGGGCTATGCGTCAGCGCCGTAGCATACGCCGGTGTTTGACGCAGAAGTATAAATCAGCCTTAACTCCACCCCTAACCCTACCCGTCACAGTGATGTCACTCACTCCATTGAATGCATTGAATCTGACATTGCATCACTGAGTGATGCAGTCTCAGCTTGCATCATAAAGGCTGCATCCAGATACTATTGCAAATGGAAACATGCTAGGTTCAATTATATTAAAGGCAGTGTTATCTTTGATTCTGCCAGGGACAGAATTCCACTCCTGTGCAGCTGTAACTGTAAAGGCGCCCTGACCAAAGGTACTATTCCAGAGTGGCACAATGCAGTCTACTCGGGCTGCCCCTCGTGTTGCTCTGTGTGTGATGTAGGGTTGTAACGGTATGAATTTTTTACGGTATGATAATCGTCTAAAACAATACCACGGTTTCGCGGTATACGGTATGTTACAAATGTTACAAAATAATTGAACAGTGAAGAAAATTTGACTTTTTCCAAATAATATATTTTCAGTTACTATAAACAACACCACGTACAATGAACAAATAAAAAAATAAGAAAATAGTAAATAATGTGTCAAAGTCCAAATAAAGTCCAAATAAACATGGTGCAAATCCTCAGTAAAAAATAGATATAAATATTTACTATACTATAAATAGTTACATAACGAAACTAGATTCAATATGGAACGTCCTTAGGTTTTATGTGCCAGCATGGATATGGTTGTCTGTGGATATGGATATGGATATGGTTGTATGCAATGCAGACAAACAGCTGCATCTTCATTTGCGTCTTTTGAAAACAGCAAGAGCAGCAGTTCGTCTTTGTTGTGTCACTGTTTTGTCATGTTTCTGTGCTGCTGTGCATGCAAAAGTACTTAGTATGAGAATTATTTCATGCAAAACTTTTTTTTTTGCGTTTTATTTATCTCTCATTCCGTGTTGTTCAAAAAGCTAATTGTTGGTCCACAAACAAAAGCGAAACCTATGCTTATTGGTTGTGATATAGCGAGTTTGAACCAATCTGGGCATGGAGGAGGGACAATGCATCAATGTATCATGTCTGGTTTGTCCGGAGACACAGTGACGAGCGTTTCTTTGTCAAATCAGCGTGGTCAAATTTTGATGACGTAACCGCACTGATTCCGGAGCCTCTGAAAGTCCGCGAATGTTATGTGATACAGCACTGGAAAGCTGAGATTCTCTTCTTTATGCCAATCTTTGAATTGTATGAATCGGATCAGCGGATCAAAAGTTATTAAACATTTAAGAGCAATACTTATTTTTAGCCGCGGGCGGCTGTCTCGGTCTTTAAAGGTTAAAACCGTTGATATGCAATTGTTCATGGTATGATAATCGTGCACGTTCAAATCGTGGTAGACCGTCATACCGGTATATTGTTACAACCCTAGTGTGATGTTTACAAACTGACTGAGAGGTGGGGATGACAGACCATACATGATTTTATACATCAGACAAATGTTTGAATACTTAATGACATTTTCCCAGCAGGAAACCCAACACCAACACGGGGAGAACATGCAAACTCCACACAGAAACGCCAACTGACCCAGCCGGGACATGAACCAGCGACCTTGCTGTGAGTAACCACTGAGGCACTGTGCCACCTCATTTGTGTCAATTCCAAATCTGAACTTGTATGTCACATAAGCACTTTGCATAAATACATCACATTTCATTATGGGTTTTGTTCTTAAATGTAATAAACATGATCGATTTGTCATGACACGGTGGCTCAGTGGTTTGCACTGTGGCCTCACAGCAAATAGATTACTGGTTCGAGTCCCGGCTGGGTCAGTTAGCGTCTCTGTGTGGAGTTTGCATGTTCTCCCCGTGTTGGCGTGGGTTTCCTCCGGGTGCTCCGGTTCCCCCACAGTCCAAACACATGCGCTATAGGGGAACTGATGAACTAAATTGGCCATAGTGTATGAGTGTGTATGGGTGTTTTCCAGCACTGGATTGAGGCTGGAAGAGCATCCACTGTATAAAACATTTGCTGGAATAGTTTGTGGGTCATTCCGCTGTGGTGACCCCTGATGAATAAAGAGACTAAGCCCAAGAAAAATCAATGAACGAGTGAGTGAATGAATCTCTGTTCTCCTCATTACGTCTACAATACATCTCTCTATCAAAAATAGGCAGAGCACAATAATAAGCACGAATGTCTTTTTAATCATTTTGTCACAGCCTTTATTATAGTTGTTTTCAGATCCTCATCGATACTCATCGATGAATTTGCTCTTCAGTGTTTGGACTCTCAATAATGAGTTCAAACCACACTGAACTGAGCTAAACTGAACTGAACTTAAACACTAAAAACTGAACTACCCTGATCCAGTTACTAAGACCATTAATGTGAAGCTGCTTTGACACAATCTACATTGTAAAAGCGCTATACAAATAAAGCTGAATTGAATTGAATCCTCTGAGGCGGCTACTACAGATTAATGACTTAAATGAGCGTCAAGATTAAAGTGTTCCTTTACAAACTCAGTGGACTTTTGACTGCGCAGGCCCTGTTTGTTTATCTGCATCAGATGACCTTTGACCTGCTGGGTAATTATCCTGCTGCGCTTTACAGCACTGTTTATTCCCTTTCGAGGTTTTGTGCTATTCCCGGGCATTTCCAGGAACGTTTGCTGAATGTCAGGACGCAGGATGAGCGATTATGAGCCGCAGTCTGGCATCTGCGCTGGTATTTCCTCCATGCTGATAACACAAATGTTTTTTCTCGACCTCTAGAGCTTCCCATAGCGTGCTAGCGGCCTGTAGAAGTTCCTCTTTATAGCATGCGTGTGACTAGAAGATCAATAAACACTCCTGAGGAACAAGAGGTTACGCCAGGATGAGCGTTTTTACTGATTATTAAACTGTGTTTTTTTAAATAGCTTGCAATATTGATTAATGGACACGTTTTTAAAATATATTAGTTTTAATAACTCATTTCTAAGAACTGATTTCTTTTATCTTTGCCATGAGGACAGCACATCATTTTTGATTACGTATTTTGCTAGAAAGTAAACTATAAAAAAAATCTCTGTTAGGAACGTTTCTGGGTCAGTGTATCTTTTGGTCATTGGATTTTCATTTTAGAA